AAGAGCTGTTTATTAGATAGAATGATTAGATAATAGAATAATTAGATAATAAATTAGATAGGTGGGTTTGATATGGTGGATAAAGGAGAAGGAAGAGCCAAAGGATGACTCAAAAATTTCTAGGTTGGGCTGTTGTTACCATTCACCAAGATAGGGTCTTGAAGAGACTCAGGTGTTGGGGTCAGAGTCCATAATAATGACATTAAAAAGCCAGTGAGATACCCAAGTGTTAATGTCTAGGGGTGGTTGTATGCATAAGTGACTAATTTAGGAAAGAGAATAAGCTAAAGACAAAAATGTGGGAATCATCAGTATATACATAGTAATTGAAACCATAGGTTTCAACAGTAGGTAAGACTGCTACTCTATAGATAAGAAAAAGATTTAAAACAGAGTAAAGGAGGCTTCTAGTGAAAGATTTTCTCTTTAAAAGAGGAGTACGTTAGTAAAAATTAAATACATTTTGAAGTATCAATTCACTTAGTACTTAGTTTATTAAGCAGTGAAATGCATGGACCTCACTATTCTGGCTGCATATATCCCTTTCCCATTTGTTGTTTTCCTTCAACTTTATCAGTGTCTAAATTGCTAAAAGGCAGTAAATAAGTAATTGCTTTGTGAGAGATTATGTACTAGCCTGATGTATTAGGAGCCCTTAAACTAAAAATAGAAAGTAAAGAAAGAAAGAAGATGGAAGAAAAAGAAAAGGAAAGAAAAAGAAAGAAAGAAAGAAAGAAAAGAAAGAAAGAAAGAGAAAGAGAAAGGAAGGAAGGAAGGAAAGAAAGAAAGAAAGAAAGAAAGAAAGAAAGAAAGAAAGAAAGAAAGAAAAAGAAAGAAAGAGAAAGGAAGGAAGGAAAGAAAGAAAGAAAGAAAGAAAAAAAAGAAAAAGAAAAAAGAAAGAAAGAGGAAGGAAGAAAAGTTGAGGTCTTTCTGATATTTATTTTTTAATTTTAAAACACTTTGGTTTAACTTAGAGGATCACTCTGACCTAGAGCATGGTCCATGAGTTTTGGACCACAGTTTTTTTTGTAAGAGAGAAAACTATGACTTGTATCTGCATTAATTTAGTGCTTCTATTGCACCTTTCACTGCAGTTAGTAGGAACTAGTTACATAGTATGCTAGTAAATTACTTATCAAATTAAATTAAATGGAAGTTATTCTGTTTGGGGAGGTGGAAGGATGGAAGAAGTGAGTAGACTGAATAGACAAACCAAATTGCTTCTAGAAAATTATTTGAAAATATTTTAAATGCAAAAAATAGTTTCAGATGTATATTTTGTAAATTCACTGCATTCTAAGACCCTTAAACATAGGTTACAATCATAATTTTTGTAGGATTACATATTATCTAGTCTTCATGATTATTGCTTTTTTCTATTTAAATTTTTTTTTTAGAGAGAGAGAGCACATGAGGGTAGAGAGAGGGGAAGAGTGTGAGAGAGAATCTTAAGCTGATTCCATTCCCAGCAGGGAGCCCCATGTGGGCTCCACCTGGGGCTGGATCTCAGGACCCTGAGATCATAACCCTGAGATCATGACCTGAGCTGAAATCAAGAGTCGGACACTTAACTGACTGAGCCACTCAGGTGTCCCTGCTTTTTCCTTTTTCAGAAATTCTTTTCTAGAAAAATATTTTTCGGGGTGCCTGGGTGGCTCAGTCCGGTTGAGCATCTGACTCTTGGTTTCTGCTTAGGTCGCAGTCTCAGGGTTGAGCCCCAGGTAGGGCTTCACACTCAGCCTGGAGTCTGCTTGTCCCTATCCCTCTCCCTGCTGTGCCATGCCCCTCACCCCCATTTGCTAGCAAGCGTGCATGCTCGCACTCTATCTCTCTCAAATAAATGAAATCTTTAAAAAAATATTTTTCTATTCTATTACTTATTAGTAATAAGACTTCTTAAGAATAATAAGTAATCCTGAAATAATCTTATAAGAGAATTTAAATATGTTTTCATTTTTGTAGGCTTTAAAAAATTATGTAGTCTGAGTAGTTAGAGAATTGACTATATATATATATTTTTTAAAGATTTTATCCATCTATCAGAGAAAGAGAGACAGAGGCAGGCAGAGGGAGAAGCAGGCTCCCCGCTCAGCAAGGAGCCCGATGCGGGAACTCGATCCCAGGACCCTGGGATCACGACCCGAGCTGAAGGCAGACGCCCAACCGACTGAGCCACCCAGGCGTCCCTTGACTATATTTTTTTAAAGATTTATTTATTTATTTTAGAGAGCGTGAGATAGAAACCATGGGGGAGTGAGGAGGAGAGGGAGAGAAAGTCCCAAACAACTCCAAGCTGAGCGCAGAGCCTGAGGTGGGGCTCGATCTCATAACCCTGAGATCACAACCTGAGCTGAAACCAAGAGTCAGATGCCCAACTGACTGAACAACCCAGGCGCCTTGAGAATTGAATATTATAAGAAGAACTGTAGCTTTCTATTCTGATTTTTTGTTGAAAGCATAACCATATTCCTCAGGTAGAAAATTTATTGGTATTATTCCAGGTAAGAACGGAAAGGACTCAAAGCAATCCATATTTTTAATAGAATTAAATTGTAGGCAATTTACTTTCAAAAGAAATCTATACAATTATATATTCAATAAATATATTTTTGATTCCAGTATTTTCATGTTTCAAACATTTTTGGTGTATTTAAAAGTACCTGAAAACATTTTATTCCTATTTAAAGATTTCAAATTATGAAACCAAAAAATTCCAATAGCTCAGAGACCAGAAGAATAACTAGCCAAAAAGTTAATCTCTTATGAACTGGCTGGCCATGCAAAAGGCAGGTAAATCCATCTCTTGATGACAACTACTTCCTCTTTGAAGTAAAACATGTACATGCAGATCTTTCCTTCCTTAACTTCTTGAATCAGTTCATTCTAGCTCTTCTTTCTTTTCCCTCTTGCCTGCTTTATTGAGATCTAACTCAAATTCATCCACCTAACATGTACAATTCAATGGCTTTTAGCATATTCACACAGTTGTTTATCCATCACCACAATCAATTTGAGAACCTTTTTTCTGCCCAAGAAAATACCCTGTACTTTTTAGGTAGCATCCTCCCAACCCAATCACCCTCAGTAATCTCTAACTTACTTTCTGTCTCTATGAATTTGCTTCTTCTAGATATTTCATGTAAGTGGAATCATACAGTATTTGTTCTTTTGTGTCTGGCTTATTTCATACTCATCATGTTGTAGATGATGTGTCAGAACTTCATTCTTTCTTATAAATGGTTGAATAATATTCCATTGTATGTATATACCACACTTTGTTTATCCGTTTATTAGTTGAGGGGCACCTGTGTTGTTTCCAACTTTTGGTTACTGTAAATAACTAACACAATGAGCATTTGCATACAAGTACCTGTTTGAGTCCTGTTTTGTATTCTTTTGGGTTTATACCCAGGGGTGAAATTGCTGGATCACATGGTAATTCAATGATAAGCTTTTGAGGAACCACCAAACTGTTCTCTATTGCAGCTGCAACATTTACATTCCAACGAGCAATGCAGAAGGGTTTCATTCTCCACATCCTTGTCAATACTTATTTTCTTCTTTTTTCTTTTGTTGTTTTAATTACAGCCTTTCTAGTACGTGTAATCTATCTCATTGTGGTTTTAGTTTTCATTTTTCTAATGATTACTGATGTTGAGCAACTTTTCAAGTGCTTATTGGCCATTTGTGTATCTTTTTTGTGGAAATGTCTTTTTATGTCCTTTGCTCACTTTTAAATCGGGTTGTTTATCTTGAGTTGTAGGAGTTCTTTATATATTCTGGGTATTAACTCCTTCTCAGGTATAGGATTTGCAAATATTTCCTTCCATTCTGCAGATTGTCTTTTTATTTTTATTTTTTTTAAAGATTTTATTTTTAACTAATCTCTATACCCATTGTGGGGCTTGGACTTACAACCCCAAGATCAAGAGTCACACGTTCCACCTACTGAGCCAGTCAGGCGCCCTGTCTTTTTACTTTTTTGATAACATTCTCTGGTGCATAAACTTTTTAATTTAGGTCAAGTCCAATTTATCAGTTTTCCCCTTTTTTTTACTTACGATTTTGTTGTCACATCTAAGGATCCATTGCTAAATCCAAGGTCTTGAAGATTTACCCAAATGTTTTCTTCTAAGAGTTTTATATCTTATATTTAGGTTGTTTAATTTTGAGTTAATTTTTTGTATATGGTATAAGGTAGGGGTCCAACCTCAATCCTTTGCATGTGAATATCCAATTGGCCCAGCATCATTTATTGAAAAGACAGTTCTTCCTTCCTTTGATTGTCTTGGTATCTTTGTTGAAAATCAATTGACTGTAAATGTGAGGATGCATAGAGAAGTGCTATTTTGAGTTTATATCAGAACATCTTTTTTCAGAGTAATATTGTGTATTACCTCTCAAGCATACAGGGACTTCAAGAGAGGTAAGATGAATTCTTAAAACAAAATATCTGTTTTGCCAACAATCAGACATTTTTTCATTCCTCATTTTTCATTATATTGAGTATTCCAAAACCTTAAACCTTTATTTACAAGTGTCCATGATTATTGTTTTGCTGATATGCATGACAGACAAAGCTCTACCTTAAACTAAGAACTGCAAATGGCCTTTGTATATTCTGTTGTAGCTACACATAATTTGACATTGCAAATTGAAAAGGTTCTATGTTGTGCACTTCCAGAAATTTACTGCAGTGCTACGTGCATAATGGGTACTCAATAAATGCGTGGTAAAAGAATGAATAAATCTTTCTGAAGTAGATTTCTCTTAATTTCTTATGCAAAATATGTACTAATATATACACATTATCAATATAATTTATTTCCCTTTATACGGGCCCCCATCACTTTGATTTTTCAAAAATAACCTCATGTCCTTGTAATAGCTTTATCTTAGCCATTATAAATTATTAATTTTGCGGCATTCATTTTATACTAATAAATCCATCGTGAAGCATCCCACAATATTCTCTGCATAGCAATGGGTTTCAGAGTCAGTTATGAATAGGAATTGAGTCTAGTTGATTGAGAAATTAGTGACAATTCACAGGGGTCTGTGAAAAGAGCTGGCTTTATTAACTCAGATGGTATCTCTTGCAGTGGCCACATTTCTACCCAGATGAATGACGGAGCATATGTTTTCTGACTTCCTTTGCTGTCAATAGATCTTCTTTGTCTGTAGTTATACCAAAACTGATGGATCATTTCTTTGAATGGTCTTGTGGTCAGAGTATACAGAATTGGGTTCAAAGCACTGTTGATAGGCAGAATAAAGATCACTACCCAAGAGGTTATGGTACCTAGAAGAGAAAAATGCAGTAGTTTTAGTGTTCAGGGACGTTTACAAGGTATAGAAACCCCTTTCCCTTGTTTCTCCCCCAGCCCCCTTTTGAGTCTTAATTTTTTCCCTTTGATGTCACATAATTAAATACCAAGTCTAATGTGTTTCCAGGATGTCTTTCCAGGGTGCCAGTGTTTGAGGGGAGTGCTGGTGCTGCAAAAAAACAGGGTTCTTTGCTAAGTAGCTTTTCTTGAATACATCCATAAAAGTATTCCATTAGGTAGAAACATTTTCCACCAAGTGATTGCATATTATTGTGATATGATTCCATTTTAGGAAAAGCAGTATCATTTAGCATTCAAATCATACCTTTTCCAATATTTTAATTGCTGGATAGTACATATAGTGTTTCTCAAAATGTATAGATAGAGTTCTGCTATTTCTTTGGTTTTAAAAATAGGTATGCATTTTTAGACTTTTGACTAAATATTTATTTCAGTAAAAACATTGTTGGCTAAACTTATCTTAAAAATCACTGTAGTACATAGGTAACTACCAAAAACTCAGATTTGTTATTATAATTTAATTGATGCTATTTTCCCTCTTTGTTGTTTATAAAATGTAAGATACTATTATCACCAACCACAGGATAAAACAAAATTAAAATTGTATGTTTATAACTTTTAAAAATGTGAATATATACTGCACTATCCTTATAATTAACAGCATTTTGCACATTTTTTGTTGTGATAAAATATACATAACATAAAATTTACCATTTTAATCATTTTTAAGTGTGCCATTCAGTGGCAATAAGTACATTCATAGTGTTGTGCAACCATCACCACCATCCATCTCCAGAACTTTTTCATCTTCCGCAATGGAAACTACATATCTATTAAACAATAACTCTTCATCCCCTTCTCCTCCCAACCCCTGACAACACATTCACAAACTTTCTGTCTCTATGAATTTGACTACTCTAGTTACCTCATACAGTGGAATCATACAATATTTTCCCTTTGTGACTGGCTTATTTCACTTAGCATGATGTCTTCAAGGTCCATTCATGTCATACCATGTTTCAGAATTTCCTCCCTTTATAAAGCTGAGTAATAAACCATTTTGTGTGTATAACACACTTCGTTTATCCATGCATCCACTGATGGACACTTGGGTTATTTCCAGCTTTTGGCTCTCGTGAATAATGCTGCTATGAACATGGGTGTAGCAATATCTGTGTGAGTTCTTGCTTTTAATTCCTTTAATTCCCAGAATTAGAATTGTTGGGTCATTTCTAGGTTTAATTTTTTGAGGAACCACCACACTGTTTTCTATAGCAGCTCCTTACCAGTGATACACAAGAGCTACAATTTCTCCAAATCCTCACCAGTTTGTGTTATTTTCTGTGTTTTTGATAGTAGCTATCCTAATGAGTGTGATGTACATTATTTTTAAATACCAAGAATGCATTCTTCAATCATCTCTCACACTCTGGGGTAATGTTCTCTAAATTGCTATGTAACCTGGGAAGAAAAATGTCTTATGTTCTCAAAAACAATGAAGTAAAAAAAAGAAAAAAAATGAAGTAAATATTCAATAATCATTTTTACCTGTTTGGTCATCTTAAGCATGGCATTATCAGAATTACAGAACACAGAGTGTTATTTATTTGAGTCGTTACTTTGTTCCAATAATAATTGTGTTTTAGGCATTTACGGAAATAACTGAACAGTTTCCTCCCAGTAAACTTTTGATTGATGAACAGAGCCTGAAGTACGTATAACTCTGACTTACAGTTCTTAAAATGAGTTGGTGTTAAGGATCTTAATTTTCTTTCTTAGAGGAACACTGCAGAGACAGACTTATTAATTTTTTACAGAAAGAAAAAAAAAAGTTGTACCTGGTATTTCTACCTGAAGCAATGAAAGAAATTTCAGTACAAAAATGGGTATCCAGCATAATGCATCAGTAAATACAATAAAGAAAAACCGTTTGGCAAGGATCATCTCTTTTTTAACTTGATTCCGTATTTCAGTTGCTGTTATGGCACTTTGATGAACGCTGTAAAACATGCTTCCATAGGAAAAAACTATGATGATAAATGCCGCCAAGTTAACACCTGTTTAGAACGTAAAGATTATTATTGATGTGTATTAGCATCCTTTCAAAACAAACACACATACTCTTAGCTGTTTGAACATGAATATGTTTTTTTGTTCTTCACAAGAATTACTAAGGTACACAAAAATAATGAATTTTTTAAAAATTTGAAGTAATGTTGAACTAATGAGGAATAAGGGAATTTTAATTTAAAAATGGCATATTAAAATGAGATTATAGTGATCCAGTGAATATCCTGGGTCTTTTAAATTAATCTTTATAGATTTTTTTAAATCATTCAATTAGTTTAAGTTATACTTTGAGAATATATATATATATATTTTTTTTTTTTCTTTACCCTCCCCCGGAGAATATTTTTTACAAGAGAAAAACACTTGTATGTCTCTTTTCAAGGCAAAGACTTGTGTGGCTATTTTGAATTTTTTCATATTATAAGTGCAAAGGGTTAAAATATGTTTTATTTAGTATTATTAGGGTGACTGCACAAAATACAAGTATTTACTGTTTTGTCTTTTATTAAGGAGCATGTTGGAATTTATATGATAAAGTGGTAATTCAGGGCAAAAAATCCCTTTAGGGATATTCTGACAGAATCCGTCCCAATGTCAGTGAGAAAAACTGGTTAGAAGATCTGAAATAAAAATTTATAAACATTAGAAGAAATAACGAGACTGACATTATGATTTATTCTAGTCATTAAATAAAAGGACTTATAATCCAGAGTTTCTCACCAAGAAAAATTGTCACTGAATAAATCTGGGCTCCAGTACTTCCGGTATCTTCTGAATGAAGAGGGAAACACACTCCATTGGTGCCATAGTAGTTTTTGAAAAATTCCTTATTGGTCAATGGAATGAGAGCCACTATAAACCCAGTAATCCAAATAAGAATCAGAACTGTAATTGTTCTGCATTTTCTAGGTCTTAAAAACCTAAAAGGATAGACAATGCAGATATATTTTTCCAGTGTCAGAAATGTTAGAAGTAGCACTGATACTTCAGTGGACAGAATGGCCAAAGATCCCACAAGCTGACAGTGAATACTCTCCATCCACAGCTGCGCATGCTTGTTGTATTCTCCACGAAACTTTAGATCAAAGGCTCCAATCAGAAACAGATATATTCCCATTAGGCAGTCAGCACCTATAGGATCAGTAGATGTTGCAAATTTAGAGAAATAAATAGGTATAATGGAATTAACAATAAGCGGTATTATTTTTAGTATTAGCGAAAAATGCCTAATTTACTTCCATCTTGGGAGGAGGTACTTTTTATTCTAACAGTTCATTTATGGGTAAGGACCTCTTCAGCAACTCTCTTCAAAAACCACTCTTATAGCACCCTCTATAGCTAATTATGTAATCATTTCCTCTGTTTTTTAAAATTTTCAAGTCTGTGTGAGCAGGGATTTTGTCTGTTTTGTTTTCCATTCTGGTCTCATCACCTAGAGGTGTTGTTGAGTAAATGGATAAAATGCAATTATGTTGAGGGGCGCCTGAGTAGCTCAGTCGGTTAGGTGTCTGCCTTTGGCTCAGGTCGTGATCCCAAGGTCCTGGGATTGAGTCCAGAGTCAGGCTCCCTGCTCAGTGGGGAGTCTGCTTCTCCCTCTGCCTGCCACTCCTCCTGCTTGTGCTCACTCTCTCTCTCAAATAAATAAATAAAATCTTTAAAAAAATGCAATTATGTTGAGCATTCGATTAGGGACCAATATAAGGATGTTATTATTTGGATCACCTCTTCTGCTGAAATATGCTCCTAGCTTAACAAACTAAGGATATTATCCAAAATCCTAGAGAAAATAATTCAGAAGTTGTTGTGATAGACTAATGACTATGAATTTTGGGGTCTATAATTTAGAAGATATGAATAATTAAGAAGAGCTCTATAGGGGTACCTGGGTGGCTCAGTCAGTTAAATGTCTGCCTTCAGTTCAGGTCATGATCCCTGGGTCATGAGATAGAGCCCCACATGGGGCTCCCTGTTCACCGGGGAACCTGCTTCTCCCTCTCCTCTACCACTCCCCCTGCTTGTATTCTCTTGCTCTCTCTCTCATATAAATAAATAAATAAAATCTTAAAAAAAAAAAGTGCTCTATAGTCAGTACAATTTTGAAGGGCTTGAGTTATTTACCCAGAGCTGGTCTAAGCAAACCTGTTCTCTCTGATTCTCTCTTCTCATTTTTACATCTTTCTCTCTTTTTAGGCTCCCCCATGCCCAAAATCAGTTAATGTGATGCACTATTTGGTGATTTTGCTTTTTAAGCAAACATTTCATATCAGAGAGTAGGTGAGATTTTTTGACTACACAGGCATTCTACACAAGGTTTCTGAAATCACATCACTGTATAAATCATAAAGCTGTCCCTAATCCTTAAACACTGAAGTTATATTCTAGCCTTCACCAGAGAAATTGAGCATACTCAAAATTTTGTAATTAACAATACAAAGTAGTAACCAATTTCTGACTTCTATTTCTTAGGTAGCTTGCAATGAATAAAACAAACATGAATGAGCGGGGGCCGGGGGGGAAAGAAATGGACAGCACACATAAAGCAAAACATCATGTAGATTGATACTCGCTGGAGAAAGTATGGATACGTTGTAGGCCACATGACCCACACTAAACAACCTGCCTGACCACTGGTTTCTTGCTTATTTTCCTTTGTAGTCCTCATTTAACACAGTAGTCTGCAGTCACATCTCAAAAACTTAAAAAAATTTAATACTATGTAAAAACATTTTCTTATTCAAATATTTCAAATTACGAATGTAAGAGATTTTAGTAGCGCAGAAACCAGAAAAACAGCTATCAGTTAAGTCAATATCTATAATCCATACATGCAAACAAAAAAGTAAATACAATTCTGAGTGTAAAAATGTGACCGTGAAAAGTTGCCATTTTATTCATAGTAGAAGAGTTTATATGCTTTAACAAAACATGCCTTCAGAGAAGAAAACTAACAAACGAGATATTCTTTATGAGACAAAACTAATAAACAAGAGCTTCATTAATCTGTGTAAGGTAATTGAATTTTCCTGTTTTAAATACTTAGTTTCCTTCTCACCAAAGTCATTTTATTTTCATTACAGTGAATGTGAAAACAATATATAAGCAAAAAGGAGAAAAATGTAAAATCTTGTAATTCTACCACTCTGTTTACTTATTTTCTAATACCAGTGCTTTTATGTATTTCAAAACTATAATTCCTCTTCAATCAGGAAATACTCACAGCAGAGAGAAATGATTGACATGGCATGTAGCTTGTTCTCAGACCTGATATAAGGTCTCATACAAATGACAAAGATGTTTCCAAAGCATGTAACTGCAGATACAACCCAGACAAACACTCTCTGAATAATGTTTGCCAAGAGGTTTTCTAGAGATGATATCCCATCAGTGTTTGGTTTACAGCTGCGAACATGGGGTGCATACCCACAGTACTGGAATTTCTTAAAATATCTGATGCACAAAGAGAAAGTTAAATAAGATTTTAAATTTAATTCAGTGTCACTATACATTCATATTTCTTTTCTACATTTTCTCAGTAGAAAGAAAATGTCTTAATATGAGGCTCACAGTCATGTAAAACATTAAGGATACTAAAGGTTTACATTTTAATTCTTGTGAACTTGATTTCACTGCAAAAGAATATGTGGGTCAGAGCAGCAAATAGGCATCATGAATATACAAGTGTGCGACATGCCTCAAAACATAAATAAACCATTAGCATGGGATCAAGAGAATTAATCCATCTAAGGGAACTTTTATTGGATTTTTAGTGTTTATGTAGCTCCTATTTTTGCTTCAACTAATCTTTTCAGCCCTCAGGGGAAGAGGAAGCCAAATGTTTTCTCCTCTGGCTTCCGAGGCTTTTCTACTATAGAAGTTATTATGTGAGCTGTAACTGCCTGTTCACATGCTTATCTCTCGACCAGATTTTGGTACGTAATAAGGTGTCAATAAATATTTGTTGAGTTAATTTTTTCATCAATAGAGAGACCTCTCGTGTTGATGAAGACACTACCCAGATAATCAGTAATGACTACTGTGTTACCAGCAACACCAACACCATTTATTGAGCATCTTCTAGGTATCAGGAATCAATTCTCAAATCACCTCCATGAGCTAGGTATTAGCATCACCATTGGAGGAGATGAATCTTCAGTGGAGGCAAATTATGTGCCATGAAATTTTCTAATAAATGTAGAAATTGATTGAAGTTCAGATTAGATCTATTTGCCTCTAACGCTATGTACTCTGGCAAAAATTATAAATCATTATAGTTTAGAGAGTTGGAGTAATACAAGATAAAAGCTTGACAATTACAATTACAGTATATTGTCCTGTTTTTAACTCTTGCTGCCTGAATCCTTTAGATCTGATATGGTTTCTGCCCAATTCAAGTCTGTTCCTTGAGTTGTTTCTTGGGTTTTATGAGGTATACCATTTTCTCCCAATAAACTCTGTTTGGCTTACATTAGTCCGAGTGTTATATGTTGTGTGCAATTAAAGAAACTTTTATAAGCATCTCTCTGAAGAGTTATGGAAAAGAAAAGAAATGTCCTGCGTTAGACTTAAAATATAAGCAAAATTATAGAGTGGTGTTGGCTGACATGACACTTTCTAAATTGTCAAGACTTAATTACTCTGGCACGGAGATCATTCTAACCTCTGCTGTAAGACTGCATTCAATTAAAGAAAAGTGTTTCCAAAACATGGAATCAATGGTACCATAATACACACTGTTTGAATGAAAGATTTTTCAAAGCTTGCTATTTTATCCATACACACTTGTTCCAATCATGTCCTGACATTGGTGGCAATTTTTACCGAGGAGGATTTCTCCATACTTTCCTCATTTACAGCAATTATTTACTTACAGTTATTTAGTGTTGCTTATATAAGTTCCTATTTCTTCATCTGGTAACACTTAGACCATGTGTGCGAATTACTAGCTCATCAGACAAATATCACTATGTATGAATGGTATCAGAGCAAAGGAGAGCTTATAAGACTGAGTGTGTTCTCTCCACACTCATGTTCTCTGACATTTAAAAAATCACCTTTGATTCTACCAAACCATGGAACACTAAAAATCATCCCATCCAATAGCAACACTAAGAATAATATTGTTTAGGCAAATGAATCGGCGGAAAGTTTGATAGATTGGATGCATTGGGTATGGATGTATTAGCACAGTGCACATGGAAACATAAAAGATTGAAATCAAGGTGAAAAACAAGAAAAACATCTGCTTACATGTGAGAGAGATTCATTAGAGGTCTAAACATCCTTTGTTGGATATTTGAAATTTCAATTCCTTCTAGGCTGCTAAAAATATCAAATTAATTATCAAAATAACATATATTACAAGGGTGTAATAAGTTTTTGTGAAGGACAGTTTAATAAAATGCTGTCAGTTAACACCGATTGTGAACCAAACATTAATACTCAGCCTGCCCTATGCACTTACTTCCCCAACTCCTTTTTGATTCTGACATTTTTACACAAATATCTCCTCCATTTGAATTTTTTTGATCCTTATAGATCATAACACATGCTTTGTGCATAGTAACTACTCAATAAGGGTTTGTGGAATAAATGAACACACATTATCTTTTAGATAATATTACAATAGCAGAGAGGTTTGACATTTTTCTAATAATTTTTAAATAATATATTTTTTTCTAATAAGATGCCATTTTACTGAGAGAACATTTAAATTAAATGAACTGAGGCTTATATTTTAAAGGCAATTCTTAGACGATAACAGATTTGTGTGTGTGTGTGTGTGTGTGTGTGTGGTGTAAGTACTGATTTATATAATCTAGAATATTGCATCTTTGGGATAACAATGGCTATAATAAAATCCTAGATACCAGTGCTAATGGAGAAATGAATATGCAGAGTTGCCTTCGGAAGATCAAAGCAAACAATCTAATATAAGCTCCTGGTGATTACAGAAAAATATAAAATCATTATCTGATTTTTAGTTTATAAATATGTAAGATAAAACTTCTTGTTCATAGACTAGTGAGCACTCCTATGGTTTTGCAGTGTTTAACGCGTATCACAGGAATAAAGTTTCTGATTTGAAAGAGTGTACAAATTTCATTTTATAAAATTTATTAGCTATTAGTATATAAATAACAATTTCATCATAAAACTATCCCTATAGGTATATACTTACAGAGACTTGAGTTTGACAAGATAATCAAATTGATCTGCATGAATTTTCTGGATTGGGTTATGAGAAAGATTCCTGTTTTTTAAAAAAAGGCAGCAATAGGTCATTTCTAGAAACTGCTTAAGTAAAGAGAAAGTGTTATCTGTTGACCGGATTACTTTTAAACATTAACAAAAAAAGTGTAGTAACAGCACTTGCCTTACAGAGTTCATCAAATATTTAAATGAATTAATGGAGATAAAACACCTAGAATTGTGCCTGGCTCTTAACACTATGATTTTGTTCGTGAGAGGGAGCTAAGACAACATAAGAATGAAAGTGGACTTGTCAAGAAATGGCTCTCACCGTAGAAGCAGTAGGGTGCTCTGCAAGAAACCACACATACTGCACCTTTTGCCTAGGATCTCATTTAGTTAAATGGAAAACAATCTCATTTTGTCAAAATTTGAACTGATGGAATCATCCTGAATACTTTTTACAATAAATCTTATGCCAAAGAGTGACATTTGTGCTAATGATTTGTGAGGCATGAAATGAAAAGTAAAAGGCTATAGCTGGGAACAAAGAGATAGAGACCAGAGTTATAGTGCAGCTCAATTTCGATAGAAAAAAATTTCAGAATCTTTGTAAAAAAAACCAAAAACCTTGAGACAAAAATCATTGATTAAAGGGAGCTTCTCAGGGCAAATTCTCTTAGAGAAATTTATTCTAGGTCAGATCGTTAGTTAAGTGGGGAAGCTTCTGGGAGGCAGTGATTGTAGAAAGAGAGGAAGAATGACAATGAAAATTGAGTTGTAGAAAGAAACAAAATGGACTCAACAGTCTAGGACTAGAAAGAAACTATCTGAACACAATACCGGCCATATATGAAAAGCCCACAGTTAACATCATCCTCAATGGTGAAAGGCTGAAAGCTTTTCCTCCAAAATCAGTAATCAGACCAGGATGACCGCTTTTGCTTCTATTCAACATAGTATTGGAAGTCTGGCCAGAGTAATTAGGCAAGGAAAAAAAAAAGGCATTCAAATTTGAAAGGGAGAAGTAAAATTATCTCTGTTCACATATGACATGATACTGTATGTAGAAAACCCTAAAGATTTCACACACATACACAGAATTTTAGAACTTATAACTAAATGCAGCAAAGTTGCCAAATACAAAACCACTACACAAAAATTGAATGTCTTTTTATACACTAACAATGAATAATCCAAAACCAAAATGCAAAAGGTAATTCAATTTACAACAGCATCAACAGAATCAAATATTTAGGAATAAACTTAACCAAGGAAGTGAAAGACTTGTGTTTGAAAATAAAATGTTGCCAAAAGAAATTTAAAAAGACACCACTAAAAGGAAAGACTCTGTATGTTTATGGATTAGAAGACTTAATGTCAAGATGTCAAACTCCCTGGGGCGCCTGGGTGGTGCACTCGGTTAAGCAACCAGCTCTTGGTTTTGGCTCAGGTCCTGATCTCAGGGTTGTGATCTTGAGCTCCTGGAATTGAGCCCCATGTCTGGCTCCACACTGAGTGCAGAGTCTGCTTAAGATTCTCTCTCTCCCTCTGCCCTCCCCTCCACTCCCGTGCTCTCTCTCTAAAATAAATAAATACATGTTAAAAAAAAAAAAAGATGTCAATACTCCCCAAAATGACCCATTGATTCAGTGCAATCTCTGTCACAATCCTAATACTTCTGGCATAGAGAGAAAAATCCATTCTGAAATTTGCATGGAATCTCACAGGACCTTGAATAGCTAAAATAATTTTGAAAAAGAAGAACAAAGCTGGAAGCTTAACACTTCCTAATTTCAAAACTTACTACAAAGCTACAGTAATCAGAACCGGGTAGTACTGTTACAAAGACAAGTATATAGACCAATGGAATAGGATAGACAGCAAAAGAATAAGCCCTTGTATATATGGTGTCAAGACTGTTCAGTGGGGGAAAGGACAGTCTTTTCAACAAATAGAGCTGGGAAAACCAGATTGCTATCCACATACAAAAGAATGAACTTAGAACTTACCTTACATCATGTATAAAATTAACACAAAATGGATCAAAGACCTAAATATAAAAGCTAGAACTATAAAACTCTTAGGAAAAAAAACATAGGGGAAAAGCTTCAGGTCACTGGATTAAGCAATGATTTCTTGTATACAACACCATAAGCATAGGCAATGACAACAAAATAGAAAAATTTGACTACATGTAAATTAAAAAATTTTGTATGTCAAAGGAGACTATCAACAGTGTAAGGGCAATTTACTGAATAGAAGAAAATACTTGCAAATCATATATCTGAAAAGGATTTAATATCTAAAATATATAAAGAATTCCTACAATTCAACAACAGAAATCAACCCAATTAAAAAGATGGGCAAAAGACTTGAATAGACACTTCTCCAAAGAAGATATATGGCCAATAAGCCCATGAAAAGATGTTGAATATCATTAACCATTAGGGAAATGCAAATCAAAACCACAATGACATTTCACATCCATTAGGATGAATATAACCCCCCAAGATAGAAAAGAACAAGTGTTGTTGAAGATGTAGAGAAATTGGAACACCCGTGCACTACTAGTAGAATGTGAAATGGTGTAGCTGCTTGGACATCAGTGTGCTGTTTCCTCAAAAAGTTAACATGGAATTACTGTATGATCCAGCAATTTTACTTCTGGGGCTCTATACTGAAAAGGATTCAAAGAAAGGTCTCAAACAGATATTTACACACCCATGTTCATAGCAGCATTACTAACAATAGCTAAAAGGCGGAAGGAACCCAAGTTTCCATTAATGGATGAATGGATAAACACAATGTGACATATATATATGTATATATACATATATATGTCACTATATATAGTGAATTACTATTTAGAATAATATTATGAATTAATGCTATTATTCAGAATAATATCCAGAAATTCTGACACATGCTACAAAACGTATGCACCTTGAAGACATTATGCTAAGTGAAATAAACCAGTCACAAAATGTCAACTATTGAATGATTCCATCTATATGGGGTACCTAGAATAGTCAAATTAATAAAAACAGAACAGAGATGCTGGTCAGGGGAGGTGATGAGGAGATACTGTTTAATAGGTATGGAGGTTCAGTTTGGGAGGATGCAAAAGTTCTGGAGATGGATGGTGGAGATGGTTGTACAACATGAATGTATTTAATATCACTGAACTGTACATTTAAAATGGTTAAAATGCTAAATTTTGTGTTATGTATGTTATTACAGTTTAAAAGATAAAAGACATTAAAACAAACAAAGAAGTGAAACAACAAAATTAGTATCAGTCTTACAATTGTGCAAGCTCCTTCAGATCCTTAAATACTTGCGGTGGAAGATTTTCAATCTTATTACTTCCTAAATCCCTAGGGAAATAATTGCAACCATGTCATATCAGTTTCTTAAGACTTTATTCATTGTTCTGTAATTTGTTAGGAAATGATTATACAACTTTTTAACAGTGTTACTGAGTTACATTAATTACCAGAAGTCTAAAAGTTTTAGAAAAGTGAGTGTAATGGGAAAATATAAAAATAATTTATCCCATTTCATCACTTCTTCAGAGACAAATGCTTGCTGATATTTTTTTTTATTTTCTAATTTAATTAATGTATGTGTTGTGCCTCTTTTCCCCTTCCCTTCATTCCTTTCTTCCTTTTACATTAGAGTAGGAATATGATTTGGAGCCTTAATTTTTGCACAGTTCAAACCCAAGCTGTTCAAGGGTCGACTGTAGTGGCTAGCGCAAACTTTAGCAAAATCCAATTGAGAAAATTAATAGTAGAACATAAAAAAATTGTCTGAAGGACATGTACTTCATCCACTGCCCAACATATATTTTATTCTGATAATCAGCTACTATGTGCTCGGGCCATAAAGCTTTGGTTTATCGGAGTGCTGTTTTAATGCCCTTTGGAACTGGGTCACTGATCTTAAAAAAAGGACAGTATAGACAGTTGATTTAACTTATGTCTCTCTTCCATTATTATAGGTTGGGATGTTATCCAAGGATGTCTAATTTCTTTGTGGATCCAAGATTATCTTTTATTTCCAGAATTAGCAAAGTATGTCTTTTTATCTTATAGTCTCTGCATCCTAATTCTTTAAGAAACTTAAAAACAAATGTGCTGTTCCTCTCTAGCAGTGGGACAGAGTGATGTAGGATGTATTTTATTTATTAAATTTACCTTGACTTTATTATTTCTTTGTAGCTATGTTTCCTTTATCTCATTTTCCTCAAATAGTTATTGTATATATATATATTTTAATGTGTATTTTTGTAAGCTATATAGAGTTCATTTATGGCTCAAAGTACATACAAATAATGCTAGGAAAAGAGATAAATATTTCTCAAATGTATAAAAGCATACATGTGTAACAAGTTTGAACTAAAACCGCACAAACAAAAGTCTTATCAAACTTACAATTCATCTAGCTTCTGGAGAGGTGCAAAAGTATTTTCATTTAGGTGATTAATTTTGTTTTTCCTCATTACCCTGAAAGTGAAAAGAAAAATATGTTGTGGCTCCTTGAGGTAAGAGATAAATGAGTTTTTGGAGGGAAGATTAACAACCTGAAAAAAAAAAAGATAATTATATATAGTGCATTTTCACATCATGTATTTTGTAGTATGGTTACTTACCCAGTCTAATTTTAGTTTTAAATGTCTCAAGTCTTTCAATGATGATAAAAATAAAATATTATTCAAATTTTTAAGTGAGGTAGGGAAGAACTCTGCAAGGGAAATAGTGAAAATGTGAATTCTTGAGAATACAGACTGAATTTCATTCACCGGAGAGCACCGGGAACTGGATTAGAGTCGCCTCTTCAGTCCGCCTACTGCGTCTCTTACAGAATACCCCGCGCGCACGCGCCCAGTAGCACTCATACGCCTCTGGTAGGTGATGCGACTTGGGGTGGAGTTGCCTAAGGATGTCTAATCTAAACTGGACCAATTCAGAAGATCTCTAGTTTGGGATGTTGAACCAGACTGTATGTAATTTTTTTTTTTTTTTTTTAAGATTCATTTATTTGACAGAGAGAGCGAGAGCGCACAAGCCGGCTCCCAGCTGAGCAGGGAGCCCCCACTCTGGGCTCAATCCCAGGACCCTGAGATCATGACCTGAGCCGAAGACAGATGCTTAACGGACTGAGCCACCCAGTTGCCCCACAGACTGTATGTATTTCTTGACCAGTACATTTCTGCACTGATCTCATGTATTATGAGCCAGCATAAAGGAGTAACTCATGGAAAAGTGTTAAAATCCCGTGGCTTGGGTGGCTCAGGCCATTAAGCGCCTGTCTTCGGCTCAGGTCACGATCCCAGGGCCCTGGGATCGAGCCCTATATGGAGTTATTTGCCCAGCGGGGAGCCGTCTTCTCCCTGTACCTGCAGTTCCCCCTGCTTGTGCTCTCTTTCTCTCTGACAAGTAAATAAATAAGATCTTTTAAAAAATGTCTTAAAATGTTTCCAATTCTTTAAATGTGTGATATTCTCAGAGGCTGGCCTTGTTCCATCTTGAAGTATTTATTTTCTCTCAGCTCTCCAAACCATTACCACCTCCTGCCAGTATCCCTAGACCAGAAAAGCACAAGCCCCTGCCAAGAGGGAACTCAAAAATGATTTCCTCACACAGAGGCTTCTTTAAGAACAAATAAAAGTAGAACAGCAAAGAAGTTGCAAGTTTTGGTCTATGTCCTTCAGGTGCAGTTTGGTTTCTTTTGGGCAGTTAGTAGGAACTGTTTTGCATGATTGATATAAAGCATCCCGCACCTGAAGACTGCTGAGCTCACTGTGCAAGAGTTCAAACATCTTAGTGGCTTGAACCCATTGGAATGGGGGATGCATATTGGAGGAAAATTTTTGTTGTATCAGTGATAGCTCTTGCATTGCCTGTACACAAAGGTCCTAGTATTATGTTTCTAGTATGGATTTCAAGATGGGTTCTGGGATGTTTCCAGAAGGATTCTAGTATAGTGGTTTTCAAAGTTTTCCCCTGGTAACTGCTCTTAAAAACATTGGGACATAACATACAGCCACAGAACCCAAGACTCAAGAAACAGTACATTTAATTATCTGAACTGCATTCTGATACTTCTATTCAATTCAGTTAAACTTTGTTTCATTAAAAAAGCAAGTCGGAAGACACCATATTGCTTTCATCACCCACTTGTGACTTTCAACCCACAGTTTGGAAAGCACTCTTCTGAAAGAATAACCCATAAATGAGGCAGTTGTGTTTTTATATTGAAAGAAGCTCCAGCCTCCTTCGCTTTCATGGAAAAATCAGTGTGAGTTTAAAATAGGCCAGAAAGACGTAAGGAGAAATTATACTCAATAACATTCTAAAGTTTATCCTGGTGTCCACAATTATATCTTCAGGGGTGTAGACATTCTGCGGTATTTTAAAAAATTCTGGTTGTAATTAACTTTTTTCCACAATCTTTACAGTAATAATTGGCAAAGGGCAAACATTCTTACAGATTAAGACTAACTTAGTGTTTCTCAACTGAGATCCAAGGAGAGATTTTAGGTGGTCGATGAAAATTTCCTTCCATTAAAATGGGTATTATTTAAGTGTGAGAAAAACAGATCTCATAAATAGAGTACTGTTGTGATGATCCATGCATGTTGTGAATCTTGATGAAGCTTGGTGTGAACTTCAATAATTTTGCCAATGCACTTCAGTTTCAGAAAACTTCAAGTCATAAGTGAAAATTTGCCATAATTGCTGTGCATGTTTACGCTAAACTTATGTTCATGTAAATGATTAATTTTGTTTGTAAAGATATTTAACATCACTTCAAAAGGATAAAACACTACTTACAAAACAGTTAAATTACTGCAGGAAACAAAAGTCAAATTTCTTAAATTATGGATATGGTTGCCTTCAAAGTCCCTGAAACATAAGAACAAAAATGATAAAGCTAAATTTTAATCATAGAAATAAATTGGTCAAGAATTATTTGCTTTCTCATAAAATATCTTTTTTTCCACATGCTGTTTATTTCATATAGATTCCCACATGTAGCCACTTACATAAGAGCTGAAATAATACATATATGTACTGCTTCTTTTTCTGTGTTCATAGTAAAAATGTTTTGAGTCACATCTGTATCATATGTTCATATGGGTACATATGTTATCCTGAGAAATGTGAAGAGAATGAGAAGTCAAATTAAAAAATTTGTTATGATAAATATCCACTTCCTTACCAGATATTTAATAGCGATATGTGTTAAACATCTGTCTACACCGCTCCCTTGTGGTATATTCAATAAACTCCTATCCTTAAAAAATGACAACAACAACAACAGAACATGTGTCTAGACTTACCAATGACATTTCTCTAAGTGGTGTGACCCTATTTGCTACAGAAGTCTGCAGAAGATTCTAATATTGCTGCAGAAGCTCCTGCTGTCAAAACAGTGTTTCACCTCTACGTCCCTTGCCTAAACACACCCTAGGAAAAATTCTCAATAACCTTTTACCACTGAGAACACCATTGTTTGCTTTATTATATTGCCACACAGGCCACGCTGTCCTCGGCTTTCCAACTTCCAGTTCAGGGAGATGCATAGAGACCCTACTTATGCTCCCTTGCTGTGTGATGCTGTCACCAGCAGGAGTCTGGTCTGAGAAGTAAAACGTGTCAAAAAACGTATATTTTAGTGTCTCTTCTTTATGGTGATCATGAAGGCATTCTTTTATTGTCCCTCTTTTGTCTTATCATTAGGTTTATGGTGGAAGTTTGTAGAACAGAGAGTTAGCCAAGGTTAGGGATATACTTTCAGGAGTAGGTCCTTAAATCTGTTCTGTCTACCCCAATACTTAGTTTTCTGGTCACCAAATAATATAGAGCTATTCAAGAACAATTGTGACTAAGGTATATGAGCTGAAGTGTGACACAGGTATGAAAATCTGCCAGGGAAACATGGGTAACATTAAAAGAAACACCTATATTCTGCTGGGTAGGCTGCATCTGGAATAGTCAGTTCTATTTTAGGCATTGCAATAAAAATAGATTTTGACAAATCAAGGCATATCTGAACAATCTGGAAGACCAGGATGTAAGGGTCCTAGAAATCAAGTCAATTGAAGAAAAGGGTGTATTTGTAATAGAAAAGAGCAAAATAAGAGAGCTATATTTGAAGTCAGGCCGTAGAAGATATCATAGGGTTTTTCTATGTTGCATCAGGTTGCAACATTAGATTTACTGGATGAAGGACACAAAATATTTCAAATTTCAGCTCACAATCTAGTGTCCAGAGAATAATCTTATTATTGCTATAGATATTTAGTAGAGGCAATATACCACAACTCAAGAATTTTGTAGCAGGGTTTCTGTACTATATGGAATATTGTATTAAGTCTTAAATCTTGATTCTGGATCATCCTTCTAAAGAAAAAATTCTACTATCCTATGAAATTGGAAACTAAGTACTTATAGTACTACTTTTTTTGGTCATTAGCTTTGGTCAAAACTTCTGGTCTCTCACAATATATATTGTCAATGACAGAGACCATCAATTCTTTCCTCTTTTATTGCTGTTACCAAGAATCTACCACCAGGTGGTGATGCTTTCTTAAGTCTCACAAAGTATCCTTAGGTGAGTTGATATATTTTTCTTGTTAGTTACTATTGTAACATCTTTTTTCCTATTAAGCCAACAAAAATATTTAAGTTTTAATTTATATTTATATATATATACTTATATAAGTATATATATTTAAGCATTAATTTACTAATTTGTAAAAATCAGTAAAAGGCACACCTCGAGGCATCATTTAGGGACTTTTGATTAAATTGTCAGTTTAGTTTAATTTTGAGTTCATTTTAACCTTTATTGGGGAATTTATTTTTGCTTTCTTCCTAAAATGAGAGGTTTTAGTCCTTGATACACAGGGATCCGGTTTGAGGCATAAACTTGAAAATTTGTTTCTTTGATCTGAAGAACAACAATAACAACCACCAAAATCTTGCCTGTTTCTTCTCAGCTTCCTCTCTTATCCCCTAGTGGCATTCTAAACATGCAAATCTCCTTAACCTCTACTTCCTCCCCCTACCTTTGAAACATTTCTGACTCCTATTTCAAGGAGAAAATTGAGGTGATGAGGCAGGGAGAACCCCCAGACCTTCTACTCAACATCTACACACTTACCTGTATATGCACCTGGTCTCCTAGTCTCAAGAGGAAGAGTTGACCCTTCTCCTGTTTTAAGCTAATCCCTCCATCTGTTTTCTTGAGTTTGGCTTATGTATGTGTATGTCCTAAAATATATGATCAATTTTGGTGAATGTTCTTTGGACGTTGTTTGCTTTCAGGTTTATATCTATTAGAATTAGGTGCAGGTAAGTCTGGCAGACACCCAACCATAACAGCATAAATACATAACTACAGTTTGGTAGTCCAGGGCTAATTTGGTAGTTTTACAAAGTTGTTTCATGTTCACTTTTTACATGCCCTTGTCTTCATGGTCCGGGATGATGTTAAACCTTGAGCCATCATATCCATGTTTTCTGGATAAGGAAAGAGAGGAAGAGCCTGCCTATTTCTCCTTAGGGATATTTCCCAGAAGTTCCACACTATACTTCTTCCACCTTATTCACTGGAGCTTAGTCATGTGGCTATATCAAGATGTAGGGAAATCTGGGGATGTCGTATTTTTGCTGGGCACACTGCTGTCCCAAATAGATCAGTTCTGTTATTGAAAAGGGACATTGCAGTTTGATATACATAAGTTAGAGTTAGCTCATTAGTTATATTATTTAGTTCTTCATATTCTTTTTGGTTACTGTATCAATTATTTGGTGCATATATATTTATAATGTAATATCTTTTGTGAGAAATTGCACACTATAGCATTTAAATGTCCTTCTTAGTGTTGTTTAATGAAAATTGGCCAGAATTTTACATACTTAGATAAAAAAATATGTCTTTTTTTGTTTTTGGTTTGCATCTATACTGAATACTTTAGACCAGCCATTTATTTATTTATTTATTTAAGATTTTATTTATTTATTCATGAGAGACACAGAGAGAGAGAGAGGCAGAGGGAGAAGCAGGCTCCCAAGGAGCAGGGAGCCCGATGCGGGACTCGATCCCGGGACTCCAGGATCATGACCTGAGCCGAAGGCAGTCGCTTAACCAACTGAGCCACCCAGGCGCCCAGCCTTTTATTTTTGATCTGTCTTAATCACTTAGTTATAGTTGTGGGGTTTTTTTGTAAATAGCAATGAATTAGGTTTTGTTTTGTGAGCCAGTGTGAAGATCTCTCTTTCTTTTTTAAAAGATTTTATTTATTTGACAGAGACACAGCGAGAGAGGGAACACAAGCAGGGGGAGTGGGAAAGGGAGAAGCAGGCTTCCTGCAGAACAGGGAGCCCAGTGCGGGGCTGGATCCCAGTACCCTGGGATCATGACCTGAGCCGAAGGCAGACGCTTAACCATCTGAGCCACCCAGGCGCCCCCTCTTTTCTTTCTCTTTTTTATTTTTTATTTCTTTTTTATTTTTTTTAAAGATTTTATTTATTTATTTGAGAGAGAGAGAAGGAGAGATAGAAAGCACGAGAGGGAAGAGGGTCAGAGGGAGAAGCAGACTCCCTGCTGAGCAGGGAGCCCGATGTGGGCCTCTATTCTGGGCCGGGACTCATGACCTGAGCCGAAGGCAGTCGCTTAACCAACTAAGCCACCCAGGCGCCCTCTTTTCTTTTTAATAAGTAAGTTAAACCTGCTTAAGTGTACTGATATGACTAATTTATCTGACTTTAAATAGCAGACTTCAGTCTGCTATTTAAAAATATTACCACATGGTTTTTATAGGTTAAAAAAAACTCTCAACAAATTAAAAAAACTTTCTTTTAATCTTTAGAAAGGTTTGTATATTCTATTGGTTATCTTTATAACTTTACCCAATACATCGTATCTTCTCTTTCTTAGCGAATAACAATACTTATTAATTTCCTATTATAATTTATATTATAAGCAGTAATAAAATGAGAGTATGTTGTCTTCCTTTCTGCTCCTCTACTTTTCTCCCACCATATGATTTTGGTCAGTTATATACTTTTTATTAATGTTTGCCTTAGGAATATCAAATATCCACATATTGGTAGATTTGTTGGTTTTAAGTGATGTATTTTGATCCCTGGATATTTTTCTTTATAGTTCCATGGTTATCGCTTTATTCATTTTGAAACTGTTTACTTATCTAAGATTATGTCTTCTTGCTGAATTGACCCCTTTATCATTGTGTGATATCCCTCTTTATCCCTGGTTATAGTCCCTGTTCTAAAGTCTATTTTTTCAATATTATTTTGTAGATGATAAAGTTCCTTCTCATCCATGCCAAGAGAGCAATGTTGTTTTGTGGCTTTCCGTATCCTAAGCATAATCTTGTTGGAACAGAATCGTAATATATGTACTCTTTGGTGACTTTTTCTTTATAATTCATATTACGTTCTTGAAACTGAGCCATGTTGATTGAAGTAGGGCTAGTTCATTCATTCTAAATGCTGTGTGTGTATCGCATTTTATTTTTCCATCTGGGTCCATGTCTTCCAGCACCTTGCTCCATAATGTATCTTATCGTTTTCTATAGTTTCAAATTCTTCATATTAGCTTCTCTTGCCTATAAATAAACCTACTTCGTCTCCCATCAAAATAAGTTTAATTTACTCTTTTGATCTTTAGTTCACCTTTGGCTCTTGCCCCATCTGTTCATGGGCTTATTTACTACTTATATTTCTAACTTTTTGAATTTCCAAACTTCTATTGTGGTGTTTACAGTTTTTATTTTTTGCTTTGAAAGAACTATAACAAAGATTTTAATCTGTTGTCTGTCGTATATCTTGCAAGCATATTATCCTGGGCTGTCATATGTCTCTTATTTTATGCATATTTTTCCACTAAATCAGTTAAATAATTTTTTTTTACCAACACATCTAACAGATTTTTCAGTTTATACTTTGCTAAATAAAAGTTCATGTGCAAAGTAAAAGGTATTGTGATTAGTTTTAAAAGAAATGAATATTTATAAAGCAAAAATTATTATTACTAGCATTAAAATTGGGATAATACTGGGCGCCTGGGTAGCTCAGTTGGTTAAGCGACTGCCTTCGGCTCAGGTCATGATCCTGGAGTCCCAGGATCGAGTCCCACATCGGGCTCCCTGCTCGGCAGGGAGTCTGCTTCTCCCTCTGACCCTCTTCCCTCTCGTGCTCTCTATCTCTCATTCTCTCCCTCTCTCTCTCAAATAAATAAAATCTTTAAAAAAAATAAAATAAAATTGGGATAATACTATCAGGAATGCATATGAGATGACTTGTTTGGGTAGTTAAAATTTAAAGATAGTAACTTTAGTGATGAAATTGTAAAAAGTCTGCCTCTTTAGTAGTAAATCTTTTTTTTTAGATTTATTTATTGTATTGTGAGAGAGAAAGAGAGCTGGCATGTGGGAGCAGGGGGAGGAACAGAGGGGGAGGGAGAGGGAGAAGGAGAGAGAATCTCAAGCAGACCCCGCACAGAGCATGGAGCCCAACCTGGGGCTCGATCTCAAGACCCTGAGATCATGATCTAGCTGAAACCAAGAGTTGGATGCTTAACCAGGGGTGCCTCTGTGGCTCAATTGATTAAGCCTCCGACTCTTGATTTCGGTTCAGGTGGTGATCTCATGGTGGTGGGATCAAGCCCCATATGAAGCTCACAGTTCAGTGGGGAGTCTGCTTGGGATCCTCTCTTCCTCTCTCACTGCCCCTCCCCCAACCTGCACACATGCTCTCTCTCTCTCCAAATAAATAAATCTTAAAAAAAATAAGAGTTGGAAGCTTAACCGATTGAGCCATCCAGGTGCCCCTTTAGTAATAAATCTTAATTATTTAAAAGCACCTGGGTGGCTCAGTTGGTTAAGCATCTGCCTTTGGCTCAAGTCATGATTCTGGGGTCCTAGGATCGAGCACTGTATGGGGCTCCCTGCTCAGTGGGGAGTCTGCTTCTCCCTCCTACCCACCCCCGCAGCACAAGCATGCTCTCTCTCTCAAATAAATAAATAAAATCTTTAAAAAAATAAAGTTTTATCTGAGATGTATATTTGGCTGCCTTTTTAAAAGCAAAAGAAATGCTTATTAATGTATGGCATAATATCTCCTACATTTGCTTCTGGTCTCAGTGCATGAATTTTTAATTCCTAATTTACTTATGTAAATATTAATCAATTTTGCTTTATTACTAAGTTTGGATTACTGAGCATGTAATAACTGTTTAATGTGTTCATTTGAAAAAAATTTAATTACAACAAAGGATATTGAACTTAATTTGCCCTTTTCTTGAATACTTTAGCTTGTCAACAACGGGGGCTACTATGCTGTCATACCAAGATGCCCCCTGGACTCAGTAATGATTCTGGGGATGTTTGTCTTCCTCTAAATAGTTCCAAACTAGTGTGTTTTGAATTATTATGTCTGCTTTTTATAGCATTTCCCACTCCTGCTTTACTATCAAGTTGAGAGTTGTCACTTCACACTAATGTTTTGAACTTATCTTTCCCCTCTACTTTTTTTTTTAAAAGATTTTATTTGTCTATTTGTGAGAGAGAGAGAGAGAGAGCACAAGCAAGGGGGTAGTGGCAGGCGGAGGGAGAAGCAGGCTCTCTGCTGAGGAAGGAGCCCGATGCAGGACTCAATCCCAGCACCCTGCGATCATGACCTGAGCCAAAGGCAGATGCTTAATGACTGAGCCACCCAGGTGCCCTTTTCCCCCTCTACTTTTAATCTGGCTCTTCTACTCTGCTGTGAGCTTAGAAATCAAGCAACAAACAAAACTTCTGAGAATTTCCTACAAAATGAGAGACAGCGGAAGTTTTCATATAATACTGTGTATGTGGTTTATTGAATAAACTTTTAAATAGTTATTTTGGTTACTTATTTCTTCATTTTTACCTGCATTTTAAATAGGCAAATTTACTGGGTAACTGAGCTCTGAATAGGTAGAGTGATACTTATTACCATAAGCAAAGTTACTGTAAACATTTCCATGAAACATATTCTATTGTGATTAGACTTCAAAAATAAATTCTAAGTATCATATTCCCATAAGGCAGAATTTAGGAATGAGACTAAAGTGACTTAGTCTTTCTGTATCAAATTAATAGGTGAAAACAGACCGACAGAAGGAAGGAAGAAAGAGATGTTCTATAGCTGCTGGACATCCCTTCTGTCTTTCTTCTTCCTGCCTCCAAATTTTTTTGTGCACGTGGGAGGTGTTTTATCTTGGCGAGAGTCTAGAGGAGTTAGTTTAGACAATGGGCACGTTTAATAACAAAACCATGCTAAAGTAATTTGAGGAAATGTGATAGGACATTAACAACCTATCATTTTTAAAAACCTAATATCCAAAATGAACTAGGCAAAACCAGGAAAGTTAGCTGACTTCTTTAAGAAAAGGTTCATCAACTTACAGCCAATGCAGTCTTGGCATGTGCTGGCAAAGAGGTTTATCTGGTAAATGGGTGAGGACATTATTCATCAATGCTCTGAAAAAGAAACGAAAGAAAAGAAGTCACATTTTTCTGGTTCTTTTCTCATCTTAAGTCAAACATGGTATTATCATTATCCTTTTTGAAACCACAAAAATCTATTAAGTTAGTTGTCTTCTCTTTTTTTTTCTGTAAGTCTTGTTATATTTAAGTGCTTGTTAGTAATAAAATTTGACAAATGATAGTTGTCAAATGGAGGAAGCAGCAATGTTAGTAACTGAAGGAAAGCCTGTGCCCTTCAAAAGTGGGTAGTGAGAAGGAGTTGATTTTCGATTAATGTTATTTTTCTTTACCAAGATTAATACAGGGCAGTAATGGTGTGCTTGAGAATATTTCAATAAAACATGCCAGTAATTTAGTTTTGATGGGCTGATGTCCTAGAAGACAGAAGATCTTATAAAATCATTAAAACTATAAAATAACCTCACAGAATATGATTAAAAGATGGTTGGTAGTTGGAAAGGCCTTTTTGGGGCTTTAACAATTCCATATTTAATGCTGTTGAACTTAAAGCAGTCATTTTATTTCATGTCTTTTCCTTCAATTGAAATATTTGCTTTAATTTTTAGTACTTACAAGAGAATAAGAGAATTTAGTCCATAAAATGTTAGTGGGGAAATTCGACTGAGGTGATTATCTTCAATTATCCTGCCAGCCAGAAGAAAAAATTGATTCATTTATATATTTAGAATATAAAAACTAATACTATAAAATGCCACATAAATTAAACATACAGCCATTCTAGTCTGTGGAGATCTTCAAAAACACCCGGCTTCAAGAAAGTTATTCTGTTATGACTGAGATACCTGAAAAAAGAGAAATGACTCCAATAAATGTGTTACCTTCTTTTTTCTTGATTTTTTAAAGATTTTATTTTTCAGTAATCTCTACACCCAACGTGGGACTCAAACTCACAATCCTGAGATCAAGAGTCGCGTGCTCTTCTGACTGAGCCAGCAAGGCGCCCCAAATGTGTTACTTTCTTGATATCTTACAATAAGGAAAGGAAAAACAAGAATCATCCATCTTAGATTTTCTTATATGCTATTCTTATCACACCTTTTCCCTTCTTTTGGGTCTCTAAAAGGTCTTTGTCACTTACCTTTTTATGTCTAGGTTTTAGTTCACCTTTAATCAATCAATCACTCTATTCATTCATTCACCTATGCCTTTACTCATCAAATTGTTTTGCGCACCTACTCTGTGGCACTATCATCCCTTTCTCTGAGGGGCTTTGAGTCTAGAGGGAAGACAGAATATGAACAAGTTATTATAGTAACGTGGGGAAGAGAGAGAAGTTTATAAGGTATGGTTGTTCTGACATTGCAGTGGAGAATTTGGCTTTGTTGGGGGTGGGGAGAGCAGAGTGTGGAGGAGTCAGGACACAGAAGCCTTTACTAAAGGGGGCACAATTGGATGAATGGAGATTTGGATGAAGATGTCATCGCAAAACAAAGAATGGGTAGGAGTTCATATAGGCAGAGGAGATTGCTTATGCAAAGGCAAGAGGTCAGAGAGAGAGCCACAAGTGAGGGGATCACCAGGCATTTCAGTGCAGCCTCACCATGAAGGGGCTGGGAAGAGAGACAGAGGATGAACCTGGGAGGCAGGTAGGGCTCTGTTCTGGGAATAAAGGACATTGCATGCCTTACCAAAGAGTTTGACCCCACCTTACCTACCCAACTTTACTTCTTATCCTTCTTCAGAGTGAACCAACTCTGTTCTGTTCCGTGGATCTCGCCCTCCCTTCGTGTTTATTCCTACCTCAGTCTCTTTAGGACAGCAATGCACTGCATGACTCTGCTGTCAGCTTGAGTCCTCGCTTTGCTACTTATTAACAGTGTGACCCTAAGCAAGCCGTTAACTTCTGGAAGCCTCAGTTTCCCCAACTCTAAAATGGAGGTAATATTAGTACCTGCTTTATTGGGTTGTGGTAACATTGGAGGCAATGTATGACATAAGCACTCAGTACATATTTATTACAACAGCACCTCTGTTCATGCCTACAATTCTGATTTCTTTCCTTTTCTTTTTCCTCTCTGCCTATGATTCATACGCAAGTTTTAGTTGAAATTTTACTTCCATGGATACATGGACCACACTGATTTCTCTCTTTTCTCCATTCTGACAGTTTTTAGAGTTGACATCTTATAAAATTTCTCCTGCCGGCTGTCTCCCCTGTCTCCAGAAAGTTTGACCTTTGCTTAGGGATAGCAAGAGATGATGCCCCGTATTAGAACCACTTCTTTCCCTCCCCTGTAAACCTGGAACCCCATTTAGGCACAGGAAGGTTGTAGAATAACTACAACACCTCTCATGACCACCTCAGGGCTCCCCTTTATTTATTTATTTATTTATTTATTTATTTATTTATTTATTTATATTTATTCATTATTTATTTGTTTACTTGTTTTTTCTTTCAAGATTTTATTTAAATTCAAGTTAGTTAACATATAATGTAGTATTAATTTCAGGAGTAGAATTTAGTAACTCATCACTTGCATACAACACCCAGTGCTCATCCCAACAAGTGCCCTCCTTCATGCCCATCACCCAGTTACCCCTCCTCCCACCCCCCTCCCCTCCAGCCACCCTCAGTTCCCTATAGTTAAGAGTCTCTTATAGTTTGCCTCCCTCTCTGGTTTTATCTTATTTTGTGTTTCCTTCCCTTCTCCCCTGTTCATCTGTTTTGTTTCTTAAATTCCACATATGAGTGAAATCATATGATACATGTCTTTCTCTGACTGACTTATTTCATTCAGCATAATACCCTCCAGTTCCATCCACGTCGTTGCAAATGGCAAGATTTCTTTCTTTTT